GCTCTGTTGGTAAGAGAAATGTTCCATCATCCTCTGCTCTGGAGCAAGGTTGAAGTCCACCACTTGCCATTCTGGCCTTTTACCATAAAACAGAGATGAGGCAGAATGCAATTTTTCTCCTTCTTCTGCCTTTTATGTTTCCTTTCTTATGGAGAAATAAAAAGTGTTGCTTGCTTACCTTTATAAGCTAAAAGAAATATAGGCACAGATTTCCTATCCTTACTCTCTCACTCCCTCAAATGCGTCCACTCCTCACACCCACAGAATTATTTGTGCTCCACAGTTCATATTGGCCTCTAAGATTTCCTAATTTCCTGCCACACTAGCAATATGGAAATCATAGCCTTTTGGAAGAGATCTGTCCTTTGATATTATCTCTACAGAGTGAAATATAACTTTAAGTGCAGCTACCTAACAGTATAACTGTGGTGCTAATGGTGAGGTGTGCCTATTTTCTACTCTCCTACCTGCTTTAACCAGCTCAATTACATGGCACAGCCAAGTCACACCCTTGGGTGAACAATGCTGCTGTTCCTGCACTGCATTATTTTTATGTGATATTTTTGCTGAACTGTGCTTCTGCTTGCGTAGTGAGGACTCACTAAAACAAACCCGGTTGCTGAAGAATGAAAAACAGGCTTCTATCATTGCACCTGTACTTTGGGCCACGTTGCTATGAGTTGTGGCCAGTTGCTAACTGAAAGGGAGACCTACATGAAAGAGGAAATGAGATGAATTGATGGGTGGTACTTTTCTGCTGAATCAGAATGGTAACAGTACCCTATGTGCTTCAACAGAATCAGAAAGAATGCAATATAAAGCCCTGAGAATTTGTGGCTGAAAAACAATGGTGCTGTTTTCATTTATATGTGGTCACATATTAATGATAAATGAAACTGTCCTGTATTTATCTCTATGTATTTCATAGCTGTCTACTTAGATAACAGTTGATTTTACTGAAATCCAAGCTTTTATTCGAATAAAACAAAAACTATGGCTATAGTTGTATAAATAATATGACCTATAGACATGCCCAATCAAAAACCTTCCCAAGTAAAGCTAAAACCATCCTTCTTTTTTCTGAAAAACGTGCCCTTCTTGGGCTTTGCATCCTCCTTTAAAAATCTTAGCTGTACTTTTTCTTACACTATAAATTGCTTATTAACTGTCTGATTCTACAAATCTTAGCTACCAGGTATAATTGTCATTGTTCTAACTAGCAGCTAGTTGCACAAACAGCGTGAAATACTCAGATATACATATAAATGCATAAAGGTGCATGGTAGAATCCTATTTCTATTATCATTACCTGATTGGCTTCACTGAACTACTCTGTGTACTCACCCGTACACAGTTTGAGTGACTAACCCACTCTGTTTTGTCCTTTCTATCTCTTCCACAGTGCATATTGCACTGTATTTTTATTTATTTTTCTAGCATTTTGAGATTTTATTGATTTATATTTATAAAGTACTTTGAAAAAAAAAAGAAAAACTGTTGCTATAGCAGTGATACAGTCTGTGATACTCCTTCACCAGTAGAGGTTGAATTGAGCTGTTATTGCAGAGGACTCTGGCAATTTCTTCTTCAGTTACATTCAACCGCATATATGAAATAATCGCATATAATGGGTACTGAGGACTTTGAAAATTTAAATGTATACTTTGTGTTTGAAATTCCTGGTGTGGAAATTTCTAGCTCTAGATTTGTTATGTGAAATCAACAGGGGAGGCTCTGAGTTTCTGCAGGAATCCTGTATTGAGCCATGTACAGAGAGTGTTAAGTGACAGTAAACAGTTAATGTCAGTAGGTCTGAGAAGAGATATGATGCTTGTAGCTAAACCAAGCTGGACTTGCAGATTACATGTGTTATGTTTCTTCAAAAGGCTAGCTGTAAACCAGACTAGCTCCAAATGTAGCAAAGATGTATTTGCCAGTGCAAGATGAAAATATTACCCAAGACAAGAACTGTGCAATATAATGTTATATTGGTTGGTATATTTATTGCATGTAAGGGGACCTATGGGTAGTGAATTTGGGACTAAGTTTTGGGATGACCATCCCAAAGCAGTTGTTGATCCCCTAAGCAGTTGTTTTATGACCATAAACATGCCAACATTTTAGTGCTAGCTGTGATGCCCGAAAAGGAGAATTTGAGAGTTGTACATGATGTGAAGGTAAGTGCATGTCTGTAAAACACAAGGGTCCAGGATAGCACAAAAAAAGAAACAACTCTGTGAGGAAAAATAGGTGATGAAGTCCAGAGGTCTTGCTGAGTCTAGGTCTGAAATAGTTTACATGCATCCTCCATCCATTTGACAATCTCTGTTATAAATGGGTTTCATGCCTTAGGGATGGTGAAGGCAGAATAGCTTTTAATCCCTCTGGAAAGTGAAGGCTATTAGAAGTTAATTATAACACTTCATTTTTGTAGCAATACAAATGGGACTTTATAACCTTAATGACCACAGGTGTGAGTTCTCACTCAATTTGTAACTCTGCAATTACTCCTAAATCCCACAGGATTAATATTCCAGCTGAGAGGGTGTTACTGGGACTTTTGTTCTTCCTCTGGACTCTGTTAGCAGTTAGCCTGAAGGTGGAGGGGAGATTCTGATGAAAAATATTCAGCCTTTTAACAAGCCCACATTTTGGCACTTTGTTAAGGTAAGGCCAAAGGCCAGGCTGCCCACTCCTGCAGGAACTCCTTTTATGATTTGCTCTTCTAGGAGGGGAGATCTACTTCCTGCGCCATGTGTTGGATGCACAGTTGCCTATCTTGGATCCAGGGACGTTTTATATAAAGGCCTATTAATTCCCTGACATCTTATTTTATTTCCCCCACAGTATAATTATCTTTGATCCCTCTGGAAAAAACATTTTGGTTAGGGGGAGGGAAGTTGCAAAACAATGAAGAAGATGCCTACACTTTAAACTTGCTGCAGGTTCTAAGTAATTGCATTAGCTATTTCACAACTATTGCCCTAGATATTCACACTGTAACGTCATCTTGTAACCTACTCTGCCTTTGGATCATTGCATCCACAGAGCAGTGGCAGGTTTTGAACTAAGAGCTCAGCATCCTGATCAGATATCCTTCAGTACACTGAGTTGCCACCTCACTGTATGTAGTCTGGGAGCAGTCTATGCGACTGTATGTACCTTCTGTAGAATTGCAGAAATCAGTGGAATACTGTGGTTTTAGTCAAACTAATTCCCAGGCGGTGCTCTGCTTTCCAGTCTCCCAGCCCATCTCTGTAAGCTGGTGCCAAGTTCAAAGTACAGTCAGACAGCATGAAAGGATCGCAGCTGGGTGCAATGACCCTTGCAGGGACCGAGAGCTGTGAATTATGGCAAATCTGTAAAAGAGACTGTAAAAAATAGCATCGGAGCCGGAGAGGTAAGGCCACGGGTGCAGGCTGATGGGGACAATCTGAAACCCAGCAGACATCTCTCCCTGATCTCCTGGAGAGTGAGGGAGGGAGTGACTGCGGATTGTCACTTCCTGGCTTAAACCTCGGTGAGGGAGATTACAGCAAATGTGGAATAACGAGCTGTTGTCAGAAATACGTGTAGAGCTCGCACTGGGCAGGGAGAGACACTGTGCACCAGAGCTCCTATCTACATGGAGAGCTGTTGCTCATCAGAGGCCTCCTGTCACCATCACCACTACTGGCAAGTAGCCAGTCGTGCTGGAGCTGAAAAAATAGTTGTCAGAGGTACCGTCACAAGAGGACTATCAAGAAAGCAAACCCACGTTCTGCGACCTCCTGAGTCAATAGTTGTAGCCACGTCTTTGTATTTCGTAGCCCTCGCTAGCTTTTCTTGCATGAGTTTATCCAACTGCTTTTTAAGAGCATGTATAATTTTGACGTTCTGAGTACCCTGTGCCAATAATTTCTATAATTTAATTTCTCATTTTATAAAAAACTGCTTCCTTCTATTTGATTTTTACTGGCTGCCCAGGAAGTTCACTTCAAATCCATTTTTCTCAAGGGTAGGAAATAATAAATAGCTTTTCCCTGTTCACTCCTGCATACCATCTGCTATCTTCTAAACCTCTATTCCCCTCTCCCCACTATTGTCTCTTTCTAAGCTGAAGATCTCAAATCTATTTATCCTTTCTTCATCCAAAAATAATCCCATACCTTTGAGCTTCATTGTGTACTTCTATTTCTGCTCTGTCTTCTCTTCAGCTTTTTTTTCTATCTGAAGGAACCAGGTGTTTACTTGATATTAGCAGCTCCATCCATAATCTCTGCAGTGTATCAGGTGCTTTGGGGAAAAAGAAAGTTATTAATCCAAATGTTGTCTTCATGCAGAAAGTGGTATTTCTTGATTTTCTCAGTCTCACTTTTACAGGTTCATCTCAGCCTTGGCAGAGTTTAGGTATTTTCAATGTTTATTATGCACATAGGACCACATGGCCTACGGAAGGGCTGAAGAGACTGCAGGTGAGTGCATGGGATACACAGCCAGCTAGTAATGGGAAAAGCAAACTGAGATTCTTCACTACACTTGTGCAGTTTGCTGATCTGGGGGGGAGGGATGGAGATGATTTATATGGTTTATCCAAAAATGCAGACTACTAAATGTACGTGCAGGTTATTCTTTCTTGGAGGTTTTTACTTTGGGGGAATGCCTAAAACCAGAAAATGGTACTGTTCAACCAGGAACAAGTACTGTAAATCAGGAAAACATGGCTATTTTCCAAGGAAGGGAGAAGGCTGCTAGTAAGGCAGACAAAACTAAGACAACTGCATTGTTTTTGTATTTGTGTATTATCTGTAATTGTTTGTATTATCAGCCTATTCCTTATCTGCATCAATAAGATTTCTATAAAAAATATTATCCTAATCCTTAGCTGATGCAGACCTTGCTAATTCTCCCGGAGATCCTACAGACAGCACCTCACTCTCTGACGCTGTAGCTGGCGATCCCTTCCCACAACGTGGCATCATAGTCTCTGTGCTTGTTCTTAGGACAGTAGTTTTCCTGTCTATGCTTTGCAGTGACTGGACAGCCTGGCATATATGCCTTTTTCCAAAGGGGAATGAAATCCTGAAGGCATGACTTCTCACTAACCAGGAGAATCTCCAGGAGTATGTGAACTTCCCAGCCAAAACCACAAAAGCCACCAGCTGGCTACCTACCAGCATTTGGATGGAGACATTACAGTTGACCAGAATGGCCAGGAACAAGTAACCACCAATGCCACGGGACAGCCCAGCAGGTAAGCAACATACTTGAGAAGGAGCACATCCCTGTAGTTGGAGATAAACCTATTCTTTATCTGCAAACACACTTCTAAAGCGGGAACACTGCGAAGAGTTAAGATAGTGGGTGACTCGCATGAAAATGTGATTATGGGCACAAGACACCTTCGCACAAAATAGCGCATGCAACTTGCAGCCAATCTTGAGTTCAGAGAAATCCAAATACAGGTAGTAGTTCTATCTTATTTGCCATGGGCTTTGCCTTCCTCAAACAGAGAAGAGAACGGTGGCTGGGGGAAAACAGAAAAGATGGTGAATACTAAACACAGACCCTTTATTCCCTCCTCTGGGCTTGTGCAATGCTTTCTTCCTCTCTTCCTTGGGTCCGTGCCATGTTGATGGCTCTGTATCCTGCCCTAGGAACAGGGAACTGAAAGGCAAAAGATAGACACTTTGTACACAGGGAATGAGGCAGCAGTGGTTCAGTGCGGTTTCCATTTTTCCATGGCAAATTACTTCCTTCTCTTCAGCATTCTCCAAATCAGGAAACAGCATATAGCCATAGCGCTATGATCGATAACATTGTAACAGGTAGGGACATTGTATAACTACAACTGGGTCCTCTCATGGTCTTAGTTATTTCAAGGTAATTACATTGAGGCAGAGGATAATCTGTCTCAGAATCCTGTTATATGTATTTGTTCCGCCATTTGTTTTACACAAAAGCATCTCCTTGGTCGTAACTCCTTTGATTTTCCGGGAATGTATTGCTCATGATGGATAAGGTGGCCACAGCCAGACTTGGTGTGTGCGCGCCTAGGGCTGTGTACAACTGTGTAGGGTTACAGCATCCCTCGGCCAGATCCAGGAGGAGCTGAGTGCCTGCACTGCCCTGTCATCTAAGAGCTGAGTGCGAGCTAGTGCTGGGGCACCCAGCCCACATCCCCGTGGGACCCTAGCCCCAAAGCACACAGGTACTGAGCTGCCCTGCCCTTGTGCCGCTCAGCCAAGGCTGTTTGGGATCCAGGCACTTTTGCAGCAGTCTGTATCCGTTCTCAGTGCAGGGCTAGCAAACTGACAGGCTGGGGAGCCGCAAATTGCCGCTGTGGTGAGGAGGGGTGACTGCCCAGCTTTCACATAGTGCTCTATTGTTTAGAGCACTCAGACTGGTGCCAGGAGATGGGGATCGAGTGGCTGCCCCTGGCTCAAGCCTCTATTTCCCCTTCTCAGGAGGTGACTCAGTGACATGTGGACACCTTTGGGGGCCCTCTCAAAGCCCCCCCAAAGCTGCGTTGTGGTGAACTGAAATTCCCGGGACCAGAGGAAATGCAACACCCGGCTCGAACTGCATCATCCCCGGGACCAGCCTGCCGGGGTCCG